ATATATGTATAATCTCCACCAACAATCACTTTGAATGAATGTCTGGATAATATTGCTGTAATAAAATCTAGGCAAGTACGAAGCAAGTTTGCACAAGCAATTGACCGAAAATGCAAGACAGATAGCAAATCTTAGCGGAAGCCGTACTGAAAAGAGAGATAGATTGTTTGTGTGTTGATAAAAATTGAAAACAGAATAAAAGTGTAACGTACTATCTGAACATTTGTTTATCAGTAGGTTTAGGTGTAAAACGAAAGATTTTTGGTTTCCAATCCAGTGCTACATGTATGCAGTGGGCCCATGGATGCATGTGAAATATTTGGTAACTTCTTCGCAAACACTTATGAAGAGATTCCATTAAGCCTTGACAAGATATATACCTGCACAATTGTATCAGACACTGCTAAAAGTGTATCCGGAACTGTAGGATATAATCTGTTTTACAAATATACTTCTAGAAATGTAAACGCAATATTGGAGGGCACAAAGTCTATGGGGAAGCTATAGTCAGAACAGGACCAATTTTGCTTTAAACTTTATCTGTTTCTAAACATAAAAACAATTAGATTAGTGCAATAAATAAGGAAATTACAGTTACCGAGTGAAACGATCAAACATACAGACCAATATAGCGTCTCTTATGGAAATGAATAAAACTATGAATCACATCGACATATTAAGATAATAATGTCCTTCAATTAGCATGTCATTTACAAGAACGAAAGTTTACAGACACGTCAGATCAGATCACGTGGTGGGTGCTTAAACCACAATTCGATTGGTTAGTTATGACACAACTACAATTAGTTATGAAAATAACTAACAGGAACAATAAAATGGGCTAAAACAGGTGCAGAAATTGATGGAATTGACACAATATTCTGCAAAACCTTGCGCTATTTAAAATATTTATCGTGCAACTAAATACAGGCCCATAATAAAGTATTTCTAATATAAATTGCATTTGTTGGGGGTACGGTACTATCAGTAGAGATAATGTTAATTTCTCCAAACTTATTAATATCACTCCAATTATGACCAAATTTTGGACAAGTTCGGATGAGCGAACCTGAAACGTGTCCAATTAATTCTTAGAAGCTGCGATAAATTAATGAATAGCTAAGGATCAAGTCGGGTTTCTTAGTCAAACATTATCGTGACAAGTGTTCTGTATATGGCTATTCAGTTACAAATAGACTCTCCTACCTCTATTTTAGTTGTGATGTTAGATACTGGCCGGTATTTTGCCACGGAATTTCGCGGATTTCTGCTTCCTGATTGTCCCTACTTTTGACAAATATTCTGTCAATAACGATATATCGGTTATTTCGTTACACGCCAGCACTGATGAAACTACCGGGATAAGTGAAGCGGTTTGCTCAACTGCTTCACTTCCAATAACTAGTTGTGCGAGATTCAACTTACATTTTTCGCAAACCATCTGTGTTTCTGAAACACTGAGATTACTAATTAGTAAGTTAGTAACGTTAACATCAGCAATATCTGAAAAAGTTAAAGTAAATAACTGAACATAGTTTTGCAAAGCGTGAAGGTAAACAAACAGCTTTACTCAGGAAATAAGCTTGAATGCAAGTTTAAATGAAAATGAAAGCAAGAAAATAGTAGAATGGTGGGGGTTACCATGCTACCACAGTGTTCGAAGTATTTCATTACCACAAATTACCGTATATTATTAAATACCTGATGACCATGAGAGAGGTGGTAAGAACCAAGTTGGCATGCATAGGACACAGGATTTGAGGAGTTGATATGACAACCATATTATGTTAGTCTAACAACAGATTGACGCTATTTAATGTGTGATTAGATGTGCAATAATAATGCGGGAAGATGGGTTATATATTCACAGTGAAGGGTTGTCCAACGATTAAAGTCTTGTGATAATTTACTGTCAGTCAGTTACAACGTAGAACCTTGTAAGTACGTACATCAGTTCAAGTTGTCATAACACACTAGCACAGAGATGAAATTATCATTTCAATCCCATGGTGGTAGAAATGACAGTAGCGGAGAAGATTAGGGTTCGGGGATATTATTCAAGAAGTATAATTCAGTGAGATAAAGTTATAAAGAAAAATATAATGTTAGAAAGAGTAAGCTAGAGATGATGAGGAATTCAGAAGGTTAGAGTTTGAGAGAACACAAAGAGTGGATGCACCTGCGCCATTCCAAACGATTCTGAGACATATCGTCCAAGGTCTCCGACCATCGGTTACTGTCGTCTCGCGGACACCAACCAGGTAGCCTACATGTACCAACATGACTCAGTCCACTATTCAGTGATTTCATGAATTTATGCCATGTTTCGGTTTGGCCTCCACTTGCTTTCTTTCAACCTACTTTGCTCGTCGAGGCAGTCGGTTGTTAAGCCTACGTAACACATGTCCCAACCACCTCAACTGATGAAGTTTCAATACTACATCTATTGGGCTGCCATCTTTACCTAATACTCGATTTTCAACACCAGCCTCGTTTACTCAATAGTGCCTAGATATACGAACAATTCTTTTGAGACAGTTATGATCAAAAAACAGTAATGGTGTAGAATTCAACACCACCATAGAAACCAGTAACCTACACCTATCCTCAATTCTTACTGACCATGTCTTCTACCTATAAAGTAATACGCAGCGAACTAATGCATACTAGATTTGTCGTTTGTTTAGCAAACGTATATCTCGCCTACGCCATAAGTGAGTTTCTTTTGAATCTGAGTAACGCATCGAAATATATAGATATCTGTATGCCGTACATCCGAATGATTTATATGTCCATTAAAATAATAAGTTGGTTTAGTACGCGATATGTCAAGAACACATTACTTGAATTCCGGAAGTCTAGATTCTATAGTTTTGATCACTCTTATAGCTATTTTATGCGTCATGCTATGAGCATTATTTGGAGTTATGTATGACTTTGTGTGTTAGGCGATAATAATACAAGCATCTATGAATAATGCTTCTTTCGATTTATATACGAACAATCGCAATCATAATTTAGCACGCAAATCTTTCAGTTAATACGCGAATATATGCTTTTAGGATGAATTTTTCACAGGAATTATGCTCTGATCCATTTTTATAACGCCATCGATTGATTCACCAGAATACCAAGAAAAACAATTTCCAGTTTGATTACCGAAATCTTATTCGTAAACTAAATATAATCAGCTGAAAAATATTTCATTTGAAGTTAAAATTTTGTGAGAATACCATCTCATGCACGAGGGCAAAACAAGATGAGAGAGAGTGGTGTAAGTTTGTAAATATAAAAATGAAGGTTCAGAGTTCCAGTCCAACGAAATATCCAAAAATCAGTAGATATAATCAGACCTATAATAATTGTTTATTGTCGCTCTAGTGCTATGAGTTCCTTTAACTACAAGGGACTAACATTCACAGCTTGATCTGTCCACTCTTATTTGGCAAAAAAGGCATTTCTCGTCAATTGTTGCGTCACAAGGAATACTAAGTCAGACAGGATTTCGGTTGTAGTCAAACGTAATGGTTGTTCATGTTCATTGGATTATTACTGAAAACAGAATGTAAACATAAAATTCATGACCTCAGACACTTAATTCACATCAAGTACTTTCGTTTAAATGATATGACACCAGCTAACTGAGGCTTCCTTGCATATTTCAGGATTACTTCTGAACGATAACATACCAAACCACAATAATTTAAAAGTCCCCTCTTCAGGGCTTGATAATCGTTCAGAATTAGCGCAGAATATCTTCTAGAATTTCTGGCAGCCGGAATCATAGTATTCATTAGAATATTTTTATATTTGCATCTGCTGTTCCTCAGACGAATTCACAGTGCTGTGTAGAAGCAACAAGCGTTTATGAAAACGGGTAGTAAGGTGTTAAAAATTCAAAGAGCCATATGTTGTTCGGATACTGCCATCTCAGTAGTGGCATATGATAATAGGTTGGTTAAATCCAACGTATTCACTTAATCATAGAACTATTCTCTTCAACACTGTCTAGGCATATTCGACCAAAGTTCCTGGTAATATTCTTATAACTTTTATTATGGCTGACAGATATGAAACCACAAGCGAATAAAATTTTTATATTCTTTTGGAGTAGATCGCTCTTTGCTCACGTGACAATTATGAACCATATGTTGTATTGTGCATATGTATTAACACAACCAAAAGCGTCAGTAAGATATGTAAACAAAATACAAGCAAACGACAAACTAAGGTTACAAAACTCCAAACAGGGCTACTGTGTTAAGACCTAATAAGCTGACCTGTGACCAGTGGCGACAAACCCTAAAGCATATTACTTGGTTGTCAACGCATGACAACAATATGTAAAGCGTTGAATGAATAGCATCATTATTACGCATCAAAAAAACAACAACTGCGGAAACGTCACATAAAAAACGAGAAATAAACGGGTATAAAGACACACCATCTGTTATGGATTACAAATGGGCGGAAATGAAAATACAAGCAATCTGAGAAAAGGGAATTGGACACTCAACCACAATCAGACTGACTCATTCAATAATAAATATGTATTAACACTGAAAATGAGTGGTCTTTTTTAGATTAAAATCTTTTATAAAAGTTTCTATCATTTTTTTATTCAGTAGTTTAGTTTTACTGTATCGTCGCTAATGAAAACAGGTCTCACGTTGTGTATTTATTTCAAAGTTAGTCCCTGTAACGCAATTGGAGCTTTACCAACCTTTGGTTCCTATTATCAGTTCATCTTAATCTCATGTTTGCGTTATTTCTGATGGTTGGCTAGTTCTTTCCGTGTTAAAAGTAAGTGCATATACAGTTATTGTCTCAACTTTTTCACTTATTTTTTTCTAGATAACTTCTTACGCTGCTCCTCACTCTCCCACGGTGTACAAAGTACCTTCCGGCTAAATGCAAACTTACAAAAGGCTGAAGTTACGTTCTGTTTGTCAACAATTATCTGGCCTTATGACCTGTAAACAATAAATGAGCAAAATATAATGAATCGTTACACACTTGTCAGGCAATTGGGAGATGGGACGTATGGTTCGGTACTACTTGCTACTGCCCTAGAAACGAAGGAAAAAGTTGCTATTAAAAAGTAAAAACATCATAGTTAAAATCGAAATTGTTTAGGATGAAAAAAAAGTTCTACTCTTGGAACGAATGTCTCAATTTACGCGAGGTCAAGGTAAGCGTATATCTAACTTTCTTCTTACACTCCTCAGTCATTAAGTAAACTTTCTCACCCAAGTATTGTGAAACTTAAAGAAGTAGTTCGGGAAAATAACTATCTTTATTTGATATTCGAGGCACTTGAAAATAATTTATATGAACTTATGAAAGCAAGGTAAATGTTAATGTCTAGATGTCTACTTTTCATCAAATGTTTTCGCAGATTTTGCTGTTGTATTCATAAGGTCTCGTTTTTTTGTCTATCATAAATTTTATTTATCTTTTCAAAGTCTTTAAAGCGTTTGAATCATACCAATATCGTGAAAATACGTGAGGCGATACGTGAAAATGATGTTCTTCGTTTTCGAGTACATGAAGGAGGATATTTATGAAATTGTTGATATAGCGTGGTCCTAATGTTTTTGTTTCATTTTAAGCTCATGTTGCGTTTCAGCAGCGCTCACCATTCACCCTATATTACTTTTACAGGACTAAGCTTTTTCAAGAAGAAACAATCCGGAATATTATTTGGCAGGTTTTGGACGGTCTAAATTTCATGCATAAGCAGGGTAACTTCATATTTTTTTATTAGATAATTATTTCTGGAGCCACTCTTTATCGTGGTCGTTCGGTTTAACGCACGGCATAAAAACTCAAGAAACATCATTTTGTTTTCTGAGGCACTTTAACGGTAATAAACTTATCAGACTCTAGTTTGTTATGGTCTGTTGTCGTCAAGTACATGTAACACCGTAGGTATAAATCAGTTTTCAGTTTTGATAATCGTCATTAAGGCTGATACAAAATCAAAAAATCTTACTGATTATAGATTAGTCCTTGGGTATCTCTGTCATGTCCTTAACAGGATAGATTCTGTGGGGGATTCAAAGTGATGGCACCAAACACATTTTCAGAAACCCGCGAGTGGTCATGTTTGTCACAAGGTTTTATAACTTTCGCTTATTGTCTTATCTTGATTCAATTACTGTTCGTTTGGCAGTCAGAAAATATTAGAATGCTAATATTTACTAAAATTTGTCAAAGGAGCAGTACTTAGTAATTTTGAGTAACTTGTGTTTGCTATTCACAACGAAGCTTATAAGGAATATGCAATAGACATGCAGCAGTGTCGTTCTGAAGTGTCATGTCCTGATGTAAGGGCTTGATCAGAGTGTTTTGAAGAATAGAAGTCATGTGGAAGAAGATAGTCAAGAATATGCATGCTTCGCAAATGGAAGTTTGATGATAAGGTGTACAAATTTTGACCAGTAAACTGTCTTCTTCAAATAAACAGCTTGCTATATCTGGTTTCGTCGTCTTCGTTTGTTGTAGTATTGCTCAAAAACATTGTTAGGCATCTGTGAGTTAGTTTATTTGAGGTCAAGATCAAGGAATTAATCTCATATTGACCACTGCAGTTTATAAATGTAAATTAATGGTTAGATAAATTGCTTATGAATGAGTATATTACGAATAAAAACAATCAATGACAAATATAAATTATGCTGTTGCTGAAATAGTTAGTTACCATAGTTTGGTAGCTATCTTCGCATTGCTTATTAGTACATAAAATCAGGTACTTCAGAATTTCAATGTACATAAAATGGCGTGGAACTGTAAGCAAACGTATTGTAGTTAAAAAAGTAGTCATAGCTGAACGTCCGTTTATTAGGTTCCGAAGTTTTCAAATGTGATCCGCAAATTGAAAGGTCTTACTGGTGTACCATCTTACTTAAGCCGTAATCTGTACGAAGTATGGTGTATAATAAAACGATACACAAATGTGGCAATCAGTAGTGTCTGAACTTGTGTCTTTCCTCATTTAAAACTGATTTACATACCAATTTATTAGCCGACCAGTATTTCTAATGGTCTTAGTTATGTATTTCCACATTAGAGCTATAGGAATGAGTAAGAAAGGTACTAATTGAGATTTTCGGGCTTTCGAAAAATTCCTAGTATCATGTACACCACTTACCTGCTGCGCTAAAATAGCTGGTAATTTTTAGGATAATTTCAGCTGTTAATATGATAATTTTCTATTGCTAGGGTTTTTTCACCGGGACCTGAAACCTGAAAATGTGCTGTGCAATGGGCCAGAGACCGTAAAACTAGCAGATTTCGGACTTGCTCGTGAGATCCGTTCGCAACCTCCTTATACTGATTATGTGTCTACCAGGTGGTATGTCGAATATTAGTGTTTATACATATGTTGTACATTTGTCTGAACTATGTTTTAATTGGTTTATGCCATTGAAAGTTATCCAAGATTTAATACATATGCCAAATAATATTTCAGATAGAAAATAACTCACGTATTATATATATATATATATATATATATATATATATATATATACCAACAAGGTAGCCTACATCTACCAAAACGACTCAGTCCACTTGTCACTGACTTCATTGATTTCTGCCATGTTTTGGTCTGGCCGCACCTAGCTTTCTTCCAACCTACTCCTACACCACAAAACAGCTCGTCGAGGCAGTCGGTGGTTAGGCATACGTAACACATTTCCCAATCACCTCGACTGATGAAGTTTCACCACTTCTTCTATTGATCTGCCATCCTTACCTAGTACTCGTTTCCTGACGACAGCATTGCTTATACGGTAGTCCCAGGATACACGACCAATGCTTCAGAGACACCGATGATCCAAGACTAGTAACCTACGAAAGTCTTCTACTCTTAACGGCCATGTTTCGCATCCATAAACTAAGACAGAGCAAACTACCGCGCAGTACACTCGTCCTTTAGTCAGCAAACGGATATCACGCCTACGCCATAAGTGACGCAGGTTGGTAAAAGCCAATCGAACCTTCTGTATCCGAGTTGAGATTTCGTCAGTCACCAGGCTATCAGCGCTGATGAGACTCCCCAGATAAGTGAAGCGATCAACGCGCTAGACTACTTCACTCCCTATCACTAGTTCAGGTGCCGATGCAACCCAGTTTTGAAGCAACATTTTGCATTTCGAGGGGGAAAACCGCATCCCAAACATGCTTGCATTGTTACTGAAGGTAGTCAGAGGACTGCGTCTTGTCAGCGTCTTCACCGAATAGAACTATGTCATCGGCATATTCTAGATCAGTAAGCGACTTTCCTGGTAGAAGGTCAACCCCTGAAAAATCTGACGAGCTTAATGTTAACACTAAGCGGATGTATATGACAAAGTCAAACAAGAATGGAGAAAGTAGACAGCACTGATGGACAACACCTGGAGTAATCAATTCCGATGACAGTTCGCCATAAGCAGTAACTCGACCAGTAGTGTTCGAGTAGAGAGCTTGTATAAAGTTAACGTACTTCTCTGGTACAGGTTTCAATGACAGACACTGACACAAAACTTCACGATTTAGGGAGTCAAATGCCGCTTTTAGGTCTAGGAACACAACTATTGTCGGACGTCTAAATGTGTGTCTGTGTTCCAGGACCTGTCGTAGTGTGAATATATGGTCTATACAGCCACTTCCAGGTCTGAAACTCGAGTGGTTTTTTCGAATCTGCTCTTCACGAGCTCTAGTTAGGCGTCTAAGGACAATCGAGGCTAACAATTTGGGAACTATATTGTTAAACTGATTCCCATGTGTTTGTCACAAGAGGACTTTTGTCCTTTCTTTTAGACTGGGACAATTAGCGACTGAGACCAGTCAGATGGGATTTCGTCCAGTTCCCAGATTCTACCTAAGATCTCGGTCATTCTAACTGTTAAAACTGGAACACCATCCTTAAACATCTCAGGGGTAAGCCTACAAGGACCTGCTGCTCTACGACCCTTTAGATTCCCTATCGCTTTCTCAACTTCATGTAGACTAGGAGGACTTATATCCATTTGCCATTCAGGATGACTGGGGATCGTGGCAACCGAAGTGTGGCTGAAGACCAGTTGGCAATCACTTGGATGGTCGCCTAACTGTTTTTCTAGTTCCTCCTGAAAAATTTTCTTAGCTTTATTATCACTAAGTAAAACCCTAACAGGATTCCTTACGGTGTCTTTCCGACGTCCAGTGTGCCTCAAACAGATATGCGCTCACACTCGAGCATGATCTGAATCTAAACATGTGCCCCAGAACGAGCGACAGTCCTCTGTCGAACCCCTCCATCAGTGGCTGATGGCGATGTGATCTAGTTGGTGCCAAAGTTGAGACGACTTTGGGGTCGCCATGTCAAGAGATGTTTTTCCTTAGTGTTTGCTAGAAATAGGCGGTTATCTGAGCATAGTTGCAACAGACGGTCGCCATTGTCTGTTCTCTGAGCCGCGACACCATAACATCCACCAAGGTGTCTCTCCTGCTCATTTAGTCTACCTACTTGAGCATTAAAGTCACCAGCCATTATTACTACATCAGAGTGCCTAACCTTTTGGAGGATGTCCGAAAGCTTTCTGTAAAACTCATCTGAACTGCAGTCAGTGGGGGCGTAGGCTGATATGACGAAGAAGCAACGACGAGTGTCCCTATCCTTCCGAATCCTTACTGTCCTGTTTAGTCGGACAGCGCACAAGCGACTATCTACAGGGATCTAGTCTAGGAGGGATGGTTCTGCCCTACGACTCAATGCTATATCTACACCAGCGAGACCCCAAGAAGCAGCATCAGGGCTACTGGTTACATGAAGTGTAAATCGAGTTGCTTCTTTATCTTGGCTTGATGAGGACAAGTGCATGATGCTACTCAGATCCTGTATGCGCGTTTATGGGACGCAGCATACATCGATTGAGCGGGATTCTAATGTCCTAGCTATGGAAGCCTGTTGCCCTGTTTGACACAATGTCCGTACATTAAATGCTCCAACGTGTAGTTTAGAACGGGGCTTCAAGAGACCAGAAATAACGTTTCGAGGACTCGAATCGTTTGCAACAGAGGTGCGGGGAGATAAAGGATTGTGAGTAGAGTTAGTTGTGGAGATAAGAGAGATATCAGGGGTGTAGGAAGGATTTGATCTTGACCAATGTGATCTCGTTTGTTGTTACGGGTATGAGGGCGGTTGTTACTTTCCGACTGCCCTCACCGAGGAAGGGTGTTTCTTGAGGAACCTGAAAAAGAAGGTAGATCAGTGTTGGTCTTAGAGACCTGAGAGCGTGAACGCAGTACCCAAGGGACAACTGCTTGAGGCCGGTCACGCATGGCCATTTTAGTAGAGGCTTTTTGAGTATTAGCTCCGCTCCTAAAACCCCTTAGTGGGCACCTTTACCGACGGAGACGGAACTCCGTGAGGCAAGGTGAGGTGTGACATTATCAAGGTCGACCTTTTCTAACCCTTCCTTCCTTGTGAGAAGGCAGCATCGCTGCAGATGCTGGTTGTCCGATGGAAACACTTTACTGTTGTCACACCCGTCTGCAGTCCTCAGTACGACTTCGCCCTCAGACCTTGAGTAGCTGGTTTTATTCTCATCGTTCTCCAGTCGACCTGCCTGGCATGGTAGGACTTTCAGGAACATATGTTCCAGCCAATATAGCTCGGTGTGGTCATCACGATAGGCAAGTTCGACCACAACGTCAACGTAGCAGCTACGGTCGGGAAACCAGGCCTTCTGTAATCAATAAATATTGTGCTCAATCAGTCAGTCACTTACAACATAGAACTTCGTACATAAGTACATCAGTTCAAGTTGCCATACCACATTAGCACAGAAATATAATTGTAAATTCAAATCCCATAGTAGTAGAAAATATTGTTCTGTCCATTAGTTTGCGCAGTCAGCTATCAGCGTGTTTGCATTTGTTCTGTGTCATTAATTGTTTATATTTGCAAAATGTCAACATCTCATTACTGGCTTAAAAGCCATTCCTTAATCATAAAATCACTCACGTCAATCAAATCCCACCATATTCCAAAGGTTACCATCATCAAGTATGAAACAGTTGACATGTTTCTCATTATTTTCAGCTGATACTAATCCAGGACAAACGCTTTTCTACACTTGATTTAACAATCATATAAATGAATCCGTAATCCTCTTCTGCGACTACGTAGTTGATTATTCTCATTAGCTCATATTTTTCTTTCTCAGGTATCGTGCTCCTGAAGTGCTTCTGAGATCAACTAGCTACAATTCACCGGTTGATTTGTTTGCTGTTGGTTGTATAATGGCAGAGTTATATACATTTCGTCCGTTGTTCCCCGGGAGTTCGGAAATCGACATGGTTTTCAAGATTTGTTCTGTTTTGGGTACACCTTCTAAGGTAAGTTGATTGCTCAAGAATTTAAGGTTGATGGTTATCTGGAATTTCACTGTGCGATTACAATCAATATGTTTAATGTTATACATGGTTCTAGAACATGCTATGAACAAGTATGCCTGCTGCTCGTTTTCGCAATTTCGTCCGGTTTTCGGTCAAAATTGTTTATTAAATTTGCTCATTGCACATATATCTACTCAGTTTTCAATCCACATTTTAGTACAAAGTCATATCGAAAGTAAGTAGAGTACTTTATGCTCATTCCCTGTTTTGGGAACGTCGTTCTTTGCAAGACTTTCCACTGCGTAACAAAAAATTTCCGTTTAACAGCTGGAAATGATCTGATTGTGTCTCAATGCAAATTTTGTTGTTTGTACGTTATTCAAGTCTTCATCATTGTTAGCTATTTAGCAGCCAATGGGTTTTATCTTGATGTGTTGTCTTAGCTGAAGCGTTTGGTCACACAACCTTATCCTTCCAGCTAGTTGCAGCAGTTACTTACTAATTAAGAAAGGAGTCAACAACTCCGAAATCAAAGACCAAGTTAATTAAAATAAACACCGAGATAACAACTGACCAACCCACAGATCAACAGAAATTTTAATAGATTATTTCTTTGTGAATTCTATCATAATTTTATCCCAAAAGAAAGTTGCACAAATAAACCATTCTAGTCAGAAAACAAAACGTCACTAAGATCTTTCTTTCAGGCTACAAATATTTTCTATCACCTCAGAAAGATTGTCTGTACAGATTTATGTGGAACTTGTTCTGTAGTGGTACGAATTGATTTATATTGGTTTTATTTTTGTAATTCGAGTCACTAATTTTCACAATCTTAGTATATTATTAAATTAACGCATACAGTTTATGTAATGTGATCGATTTAACAAACAATATATTTTAACCTGTTAAGCTAGTCAGATTGTAATTGGCTCATAAATCTGGTTCATTCATTCTGTATGTTCCTAATTACTTAAACAGTAATGTATTTTTTGTAAGACTGAAATAAGCATTATTTAAAATAGGTAATTATTATTACGTGAACGTTATGAAAATGCTTTGGTATCGTAGTATATTAAAAATTATCTAGACAGAATAAGGGCTAATGGAACATATACTTCATTTACTACCAACAAAAATAAAATTCGGGAAAAGTACAAATGCCAAAAAAGTACTAAATGAAGATCTCTTTTAGGGGTTTCCTACTGTTTGTAAACAACATCAGTCAGTTACAACGTGAACCTTCGTACGTATGCACATCAGCTCAGGTTGCCATACCACATTAACACAGACGTAGTTGTCTATTCAAATCCCATAGTAGTAGAGGTAGTAAAAGTATTAGAAGTAATCGGAGAGATTAGGATTTGAGGCTATTATTCAAAAAGTATAATTCAGTGAGATAAAGTTAGAAAGAGGAAGATAGAGATGATGAGGAATTCAGAAGGTTAGAGTTTGAGAAAACACAAAGAGTGGATACATCTGCGCCATTCCAAACGATTCTGAGCCATATCGTTCAAGATCTCTAACCATCGGTTACTATCGTCTCGCGGATACCAACCAGGTAGCCTACATCTAACAGCGTGACTCAGTCCACTTGTCAGTGACTTCATGCATTTCTGCCATGTTTTGGTTTGGCGCCTATAGCTTTCTTCCAATCTACTCCTAAACCACAAAACATAGCTCGTCGAGACAGTCGGTGGTTAGGCACACGTAACACATGTTCCAACCACCTCAACTGATGAAGTTTCACTACTTCATCTATTGCTTTGCCATCCCTACCTAGAACTCGGTTACTAATGGCAGCATTGCTCACTCGGTTGTCCCAGGATACACGAGCAATACTTCGGAGACACCGACGATCAAAGACTAGTAAACTGCGAAACTCCCCTACTCTTATCGGCCATGTTTTGAATCCGTATAATAGGACGGAGCGAACTATTGCACAGTACACTCATCCTTTGGTTAGCAAATGGATATCTCACCCACACCATAGTTGACGCAGGTTGAAGAAAGCCAATCGAGATTTCTGTATCCGAGCTGAGATTTCGTCAGTCACCAGGCGATCGACACTGATGAGACTTTCCAGATACGTAAAGCGGTCTACACGCTCAACTACTACACTCCCTATCACTAATCAAGAAGGTACCGATGCAACCCAGTCTTGAAGCAACATTTTGCATTTCGAGGGGGAAAACCGCATCCCAAACATGCTTGCATTGTTGCTGAAGGTAGTCAGAGGACTGCGTCTTGTCAGCGTCTTCACCGAATAGAACTATGTCATCGGCATATTCTAGATCAGTAAGCGACTTTCCTGGTAGAAAGTCGACTCCTGAAAAGTCGGACGAGGATAAGGTTACATCTAGGAGCAAGTCTATAACAAAATTAAACAAGAATGGGGAAAGTGGACATCCCTGACTGACAGAACCTGAAGTGAAGAATTACGATGACAGTTCGCCATAAGCTCTTACTCGACCTGCGGTGTTCGAGTAAATAGCCTATACTTCTCTGGTACACCTTTAATGACAGACAAAACCACGGAACCTCACGATCGACAGGGTCGAGTGCCGCTAAGGTCGAGAAATACTACTGTTGTGGGACGTCTGAATGTGTCTTTTTTCTAGGACCTAAGGCAAACCAATAGATGTAGTATTGAAACTTCATCAGTTGAGGTAGTTGGGACATGTATTACGTATGCCTAACCACCGACTGCCTCGACGAGCTATGTTTTGTGGTTTAGGAGTAGATTGGAAGAAAGCTATAGGCGCCAAACCAAAACATGGCAGAAATGCATGAAGTCACTGACAAGTGGACTGAGTCACGCTGTTAGATGTAGGCTACCTGGTTGGTATCCGCGAGACGATAGTAACCGATGGTTAGAGATCTTGAACGATATGGCTCAGAATCGTTTGGAATGGCGCAGATGTATCCACTCTTTGTGTTTTCTCAAACTCTAACCTTCTGAATTCCTCATCATCTCTATCTTCCTCTTTCTAACTTTATCTCACTGAATTATACTTTTTGAATAATAGCCTCAAATCCTAATCTCTCCGATTACTTCTAATACTTTTACTACCTCTACTACTATGGGATTTGAATAGACAACTACGTCTGTGTTAATGTGGTATGGCAACCTGAGCTGATGTGCATACGTACGAAGGTTCACATTGTATCCGTCTGTCTGTCTTTTTTTTACAACCTTTGTTTGCTAATGGTTATCGCTGATTTTTAATTACTTATCTAGCCGTTAAGTCTTATTTCTATCATTTTAGTTTTCGGTTTCATAGTTTTAAAACCATATGTGTGTTTTCTAAAGTTTATTATCAGTGTTCCAAGGCACTTGTTGCAGCGGTAAAATGATCGTGAGAATGTGGTTGATTGGAAGCTGATTCATTTGGACTAGTCAGGATATAATGCATCTATAGATGTTCATCTTGTGTTGTAAATTCGCCACAAATTCTTAAGTTTTGAAATACTGACAAAAATATTTTACAGACAATAAAAGTACCATCCCTCGGGTTTTCAAATCGTATCACTTTGAGGTCTCCTCTATTGACATTGTTCAGTCGAAGTGGAGTTAACAATGCTGTCAAACTTGTACAGGATCACGTAGAATTTTCGTTAAGACTTTGGGTACTAGTTTATTCAATCTATCCACGGCACTGTTCGTAAAGTTCCAGATTCTTAATACATTTCATCACCAAATAAATATCATTTACTCATGATATAGATTAGTATACCCAACCAATTATGCTGATATGTAAGGGAATCTCGCAGTCCGTCCTAGCTACCGTAAAAATATCTTGGTTAGTGAGGTGAAAAAGTCCCTTGAGATCCACAAAAATTACAATAAAGTCACATAAAATGTTTCCATTCTTATAGTATATTGTCTGCTATTCATGCTTTATGTATAAATACAGATTAATTGGCCTGAAGGATATCAATTAGCGGCTGCTATGAGTTTTAAGTTCCCACAATGTTCTCCAGTGGCTCTGCATACTTTGATTCCAAATGCTAATCACGAGGGTATTCAGCTCATTCTGGATCTGATTTCTTGGAATCCCAAGAATCGACCAACGGCACGTGAAGTAAGGGAATTCAGTGTTTTCTGATTCATACTTTTTTATAAGTCTCTGATTTAAATATTTCTACTTATGCTATAATGAATATATAATTTTTTTGGTGGATCGAAACCAGCTGTAGTTCCTTAGAACCAGAAAATTTTAGAATAGTTTTGTTTTAGTTTAAAAAACCCATTAACCTTTAATATCTTGTACGCTACGTCGTCTTTCATTTGATGAGTTATGATTTTCCGAATTTAGGTGATTAACGACTTTTCCACCAACATCGTCCTTCTAATATATTTGACTTCAAAATCATGGCCTTTTATTACTGACAAATCGTAATTTAACAGGTCATCATGTTTCATGCATTCATCCAAATCCCTTCGATAGGCTGTGCTAAATGTTAAATGCATTTACTGAACTGTTAATACATATACTCAGTTTATCTAGATTTATAGTCTTTTCCCCTGACCTATCTTATGTACCTTTACACAATAATGTTCGTCAATTGAAAACTCTTCAGGGTGACAGTATCTTACATTTGAAGTATGCCGTTGATCACTTTGTGGATCTCCTACAATTCTGACCATTCTTGCTACTGAAACGACTGAACTGTCTTTCTAACGAGTTCCTGTAATCTAAATTACTTCTACTAATCAACTACAACACTAGAAAAAACGTGCGAATTTCGGGTAAAAGATTTGTCCCGGGGTTAGTTTTTGTACAGATAAACTAGGTATTTGTGGAGTTAAACATGACCTTGGGTGTCTGGAAATCCATCAGCGGTGCAAGTAAATATCCAGTCAGGAAACTGACGCGTTATCTTTCACTTTCTAGATATTTCTGAGAAGCTTCTATCCAACGCTGATTGGCTAAAAATTTTCCAGCGTTTCTAGTTGTTTAGAGACTAGGAATATCTCGGAATTTTTCAACAATTCCATTTATTTGAATGTCTCGAGTTCACGAAGCGTCATTGCTGGTCTCTTAAAACCCCTTTCTGAACTTCATGTTGGAGCTTTTAATATCCGGACCTTGTGCCAAACTAGAACAACAGGAATTCTTAGCTTTGGACCTTGGGGTCTCGCGCCATCGATGTATGCAGTCAGTCAGCTACAACGTAGAGCTTCGTGTGCGCATACATCAGTTTAAGTTGCCCACAAACCATAGCTCTTTAAGGCATATCTAACCACCTAAACTGATGAATTTTCAATTCTTCATCTATTGATCTGTCATCCTTACCCAACGACAGCGTTGCTTATTCGATGGTCCCGGGATATACGAGCGATCCCGACTGAAGCTGCTACCTTGACGTGGTGGTCGGGCTTGCCTATTGTCATGACCCAACCGAGCTATATTGGCTGGAACATATGTTCCTGCAGGTCCTACCATGCCAGGCTGGTCGATTGTAAAACGATGAGACTAAAAGCAGCTTCCCAAGGTCTGAGGGCGAAGTCGTACTGAGGACTGCAGATGGGCTTGACAGCAGTGAGTCGTTTCCTTTGGTAACCAGTATCTGCAGCGATGCTGCGTTCTCAGAAGGAAGGAAGTGTTAGAAAAGGTTGACCCTAAAAAAACGCGCATACAAGATCACCTTATAAAACAAAGAAGCAGTTCGATTTACTCTTCATGTGTCTGGAAGCCCCGATTCTGCTTCTTGGGGTCTCGCTGGTGTAGATATAGCATTGAGTCGTAGGGCAGAACCATCCCTCCTAGACTAGATCCCTGTAGATAGTCGCTTGTGCGCTGTCCGACTAAACAGGACAGTAAGGATTCGGAAGGATAGGGACACTCGTCGTTGCTTCTTCGTCATATCAGCCTACGCCCCCACTGACTGCAGTTCAGATGAGTTTTACAGAAAGCTTTCGGACATCCTCCAAAAGGTTAGGCACTCTGATGTAGTAATAATGGCTGGTGACTTTAATGCTCAAGTAGGTAGACTAAATGAGCAGGAGAGACACCTTGGTGGATGTTATGGTGTCGCGGCTCAGAGAACAGACAATGGCGACCGTCTGTTGCAACTATGCTCAGATAACCGCCTATTTCTAGCAAACACTAAGGAAAAACATCTCTTGACATGGCGACCCCAAAGTCGTCTCAACTTTGGCACCAACTAGATCACATCGCCATCAGCCACTGATGGAGGGGTTCTCGACCTTAGCGGCACTCGACCCTGTCGATCGTGAGTTTCCGTGGTTTTGTCTGTCATTAAAGGTGTACCAGAGAAGTATAGGCTATTTACTCGAACACCGCAGGTCGAGTAAGAGCTTATGGCGAACTGTCATCGTAATTCTTCACTTCAGGTTCTGTCAGTCAGGGATGTCCACTTTCCCCATTCTTGTTTAATTTTGTTATAGACTTGCTCCTAGATGTAACCTTATCCTCGTCCGACTTTTCAGGAGTCGACTTTCTACCAGGAAAGTCGCTTACTGATCTAGAATATGCCGATGACATAGTTCTATTCGGTGAAGACGCTGACAAGACGCAGTCCTCTGACTACCTTCAGCAACAATGCAAGCATGTTTGGGATGCGGTTTTCCCCCTCGAAATGCAAAATGTTGCTTCAAGACGGTTGCGTCGGTACCTTGATTAGTGATAGGGAGTGTAGTAGTCGAGCGCGTTGATCGCTTCACTTATCTGGGGAGTCTCATCAGCGCTGATAGCCTGGTGACTGACGAAATCTCAGCTCGGATACAGAAATCTCGATTGGTTTTTTTCAACCTGCGTCAACTATGGCGTAGGTGAGATATCCATTTGCTAACCAAAGGATGAGTGTACTGTGCAGTAGTTCGCTCCGTCCTACTATACGGATTCAAAACATGGCCGATAAGAGTAGGGGAGTTTCGCAGTTTACTAGTCTTTGATCGTCGGTGTCTCCGAAGTATTGCTCGTGTATCCTGGGACAACCGAGTGAGCAATGCTGCCATTAGTAACCGAGTTCTAGGTAGGGATGGCAAAGCAATAGATGAAGTAGTGAAACTTCATCAGTTGAGGTGGTTGGAACATGTGTTACGTGTGCCTAACCACCGACTGCCTCGACGAGCTATGTTTTGTGGTTTAGGAGTAGATTGGAAGAAAGCTATAGGCGCCAAACCAAAACATGGCAGAAATGCATGACAATTACGTCGCTGTGCTGATGTTGTATTGAAACCTGAACTGATGTTCTTACGTATGATGATCTGCGTTGTATCTGTCTGTCTGTCTGTATATGAGCAATGCTTCGACAACAGCTATGGTCTAAAACCAGTAACCTACGAATATCCTCAATTCTTACTGGCCATGTCTCGCACCCGTATAGCTGGACGAGCGAACTAATGCGTAGTAGACTGGTCTTTTGTGTAGCTGGTGGATTTGTCGCCTATGCCGTAAAATACGTGATTTGGCGAAAGGCTGTCAAGCCATCTATATGCGTGCTGAGATTTCGATTCACCAGACCATCAGCACTGACGAGCGTCCCAAGATAATTGAAGCGGTTTACATGGTCAGCAACTTCATTCCCAACCACTAGTTCAGTTGCCGATGTATCTGACAAGTTGACTTGGTCTAATTTGAAAGAGTTTCCCTATTGATGTTAGTTCCAATCAATTTCATTGTGGAACTTTAGCGCTAATATACATGTTCACAATTTATATGTTTTTCAAGTATCCAATAAATGAAATGATCTCAGAAACTCAGTATTGGATGTTTCTCAACTGTGTTTAAATCTAACTGAAACATGGCTAAAATTTTAAGATTACGTGATCTACCGATATTAATCAATAAGCAGTTTTCAATTCAGTTTCCTCACATTGTTCGATTTCTTTTATTATTAGGCTTTAAAACGACCTTATTTCAAGACTATTCAAGCTTTCAAAGGAATCATATCTTCTGTAAATAATGGCACCAAATTACAGAATGCATCTCAAGATTTGGATATAAAATCGACAGATTTAAATAGAAATCAAAAATTGTTATCACATAAAATTAATGATTCACAAAAAGTAAAGGAGTCGCAACCTGTTCAGCAAGCTGCCATTTTTAAATCATTGAATGATCATCAAATAGAAGCGGGATCCTACAATCTTTCGAATAATCGTAATGATTGCAGTTTACAAAAAAAATCTGAAAATAACTTATCTAGAAACAATAAAGATCTCTCAGAACATCTCTTTACAGACAAACAAGGTAATTTTCCACTTTTTCATCATGTTGATTGCTTAATGCCAGTTGGAAAAATTTTTATATCACTATTTTTCTGTATTTTGTAAAGCATTTTCCAGACAACTATAATTGACACAACAAGTCTGACTGAATATTACTATTTGTCAATGAACGTCTGAAATAAGTTTGTTTTCTTGATATAAAAGATCGATGATAAAACACTGAACTTTTTACCGATCACACCTATACATATCACACCAAGTATAATACTTTATGGTACCTAGTTATTTCGCTGATTGATAAAATATCACGCTGATTAAAGTAGTTGTTAATAACTGTTAGAAAATTCATTCAAATCGTTCAGTGAAAACTAGTCTTTCATTTATATTTATGAAATCTCAAACAAACATGTTACTGTGTATCACTCCAAAAAGCTAAATAGTTGGCAGTCCTGTTTTTGATCTTTTTAGTTTGCATAACTTTAGAATGATTAATTGTCACTTTTCATTTACGACAATGATGCGGTTTGAGATTACATAAAATATAGAATTTTTTATTGCATTTGTTTTTATAATTGGTCAGGCTTTTTCCCACCCATGTATTTCTTCGAAAAGACAGTGTTTGCGCAAAAGATATTCTTAAACTCTGTATTTTTGGGTTTACCCGAAATAAAGTCTTCTGAGAACATCGATCTTGTCAAAATACTTCAATAGGTAGGTATCCAAAACACCTTTTATTATTAATGGAAAAAGGATTAGAATAGTATCTTCGAGATATCATCATCATAGTTTATGATTGAGTTTATTGTTTGTTGATTATAACAGACTAAGGAAACGTAGGCTAATTGTCGTCTAATTTTAGAGGTTAGTTCGTATTATTTCTCTTAAGTCAATGGGATACGAAATACAGTTCACAAAATTAACCGATCTCGAACTATTCACATGACTAAAGATAGTAAAGGATTAAATCTTTTTCTTTCCATACTAACATTTATTCTGTGCTAGTAGAAAGCATCCTGCATCCATAATTTATTACGTCTATTCTCAGATTTACTCAAAATACTTCACTCTTTTATCTCATTCATGATACCAGTAGGTTTTCAGTCACCAGAAACTTTCTCGAACTTTAGGGATTGTGTCCACGTTAGCCATAGTTTGAATACAACCCAAGATGTACAGTAACAGGACCTGATAGGCTTATTCTAGGAGTATTGAAATGTAGTCATTCAGTTTTAGCAAAGTTGATTGACGTATAGTAGAGTTTAGATGTAATCTTCCTATTCGTCTCAGTTTACGGGATAGGGATAAAATCCTTTTATGCCAAATACAGGAATGTTGTGTCTAAAATATAGACCTCCATAGTTATCCAATACTTGAATGAGTCTCAAAAACATCAAGCTAGAGAAAGTCAGGTTAGTTTCAGATGTAGATGCTTATTTACAAATTTTCAAGTACATTTAATCAGGTTTTAGAAAATGCCTATTTTGCGGACGTGTGATAATAATAGCAAAGGCAATATATAGCTTTATAGGTTCAGGAGTTATTTAATAATTTTTATAATTAGAAAGTGTACCGAAGAAGTGCATACATTTTGTTAGGGTTCTGTGTTCGAGCACCAATGACTTATGACTTGTTAACCTTCATTTGCATTCGTCTTTTTATTGAATTTCGTCATATATGTCCCCCTAGAAATACCATTTTCACCTAACTTTTCAGAGGTCCATCTATCAGGAGGTTTACATATCGTCTTTGACTACACATATAGCACAGTCTTATTTAGTGAAGAAACTGTATACTATAAAGTCTTCCAATCACTTTCAACAGCGATCCTAATATCTTTGAAATTCGTTTTTTTACTTATGAACGCAAAATGTTACTTCCCAACTGGTCTGGATCGTTAGTTGAACCAGTGATAGGGAATGCAGTAGCTGAGCATATTAACAAAACATACTAGGTCTCGCAGTTGTCCTTATGGGCTAGTGTGTCAAAATTGTAGCACTTAATCATGAGGCTTGGTTGGCTTTTGTCAAACCCCGTCACTTATGAAGTGGCAAAGATGTCTGTTTCTTAGCCAGACAATGAGTATGGTGCATAACTGTCTGTTCTGTACTAGTCTATAACTGTGAAATATGTTCTTTAAAAGTAGAATATATGTTACAAATGATGCGTTTCGATCATAGGTGTCTTCGAAGGATTGTGGAATGGACGAGAGAGCAATGTTGAGGTTAAACAGAGTAGTAGGACGAGGTAATAAGTCGGTTAACGAAGTTGTAAATCTTCATGAATAGAGGTGGTTGGGAAGTTTGGTGTGCTTGACAACTGTTCACTTCAACAGGCAATAACAGCTGGTGTAGAATTACATTAGAACAAAGGTAAAGGGAGTGGCAAAGCCAAGATGTGGTATCTGCTCACAAAGTCATCAAATGGGCTGTACAATGCTTTTGGATACAGGCTGTCTGTAAGAGTTTGCGCGATAAATATGTTCACTGGTTGGTGTTCGGTAACACAACTCAAAATCTTTTTAAATGGTTCTGTTTTATTAACTCTTTATATTCCTTCATATCTTCAGTCCCACTGTCTCTTCATACATACTTTTTTATTCTAACTTTTCGAACTATATTCTCAATAAGAGACGGTTGGTTGCTAACACTGGGATCCAGGACGCGCGTTTCGTTTTGTTTGGGGCTTGTCAGTTGAATGTACCTTCATCCGAGAATTGATATTCATCCCGATACTCGAACCCAGTACTGTTTGCTATGTAGTTTGAAGCGAACAGCCACCATCCATCTTTGCTTATCACGCCTGTGACTTGATGGCAATATCGAAGCAGTCCGCACAAGATGCACATATACCAGTAGAGACTGGTCGATTTATTTCAGTTTTTTGCTATCCATCTTGTTAACTTTATTTCCTTGTGCCAGTATGGTATATCAATTACGGCTTGATAAGAAGCATTTAAATTTAAGGTTTCCGACTCATTCAATGTGCTGAACGTTCAATTTAGCGTTCATTTAAACTCTATTAAAGTCAGTTACATATTTTAGTATATTGTTCCTCTGTATTCAAAATATTATGTCAATTTCCGTTTGTATTCTATATATCGTTTGTTTAGAATAATAATTTTTATGTATTAATCAATCATTGAAAGTAATATAATGTAAAGTTCTTTTTCATAAGAGATAGATATTCATCACAGGCTAGATTCAAGCGTTGTAATAGTTGAGGGGCTGTTTCGAGAATATTGGGACTTAGTTTTGAAGAGTAATTACAGTTTTACTATTTCGCCTATCTATTCGGTTCACTATCACGGTTGGTATTTCCAAACCATATAGCAAGTGCAGGTTATAATAACGGCAAACGAAGTCTCTCCCGATGCAAGTACTACAGGGCTAACACATTTGTTCCAAGCTCTGCGTTGTTAGTGATTGTCATGAAATAGTGGCTTCGTAAACACAAATTTGTATGAAGTACACTCGGTCCTGGACTACTTCTGTTTTGTCTATAGATTTTTCTGAGTTAAAATTGTTTTACCCTGTATTCATCAAAATTTGCTTACACGACATTTTATTTTCGTACTGATTTACATTTCTCATTTGCTTATATAATCAGATAAATTTTTTATTTCGAGAGTAATTCATTTACTTTCTATTGACTGATAAAATCTATCCTTTCTTCATAATTATATACTTTTAGGAAGTAAAGGGACTGTTTTGCATTTGGAAGATCCATTACCAACTCTTGTTCCAACATTAAACGAAACTGTTGAGAACGTCAAGTTAAACGATCATGCTACTGAAAATAAGGTTCATGGATTCGAGAACTTAATTTCAGGCGATACAATTAGTAAAGCGGATCTGGTTACAGATTGCGCAATTGCTACAAATCCACTTCCCATCGATTCATTTCAGTGTCCGAAATCTGTAAGTTTTCTTTCATTTTAATGTTTTCTATGGATTCGAAAATTTTTTTATAACCTCGAGTTCTTTTATGAAGTTTTACGTTTCACCGTAAAAAGAACATCAAATACGCTGAATTCTAAAATAAATGTCACCGAAATCTTTTTTACATAATGATCCCCATACAGATGAAAGCAGAAATCGAAAACGATAGGTTACGAAAGTTTGTTTGAATCACTGCAGGCCGATGTATCTTTGTATGCGAAATCTAAGCTGACTAGTTATCATAGAAGAGACGCAGTGCGATGTGTCTAAACATCACCGGGTGCGGATGATTTTTCTAAGTCTTTCGGCTAAGAATGTGTCAATGTCAAATATCTGAAGAGCTATTTGTTCTAAAGGATTTGAGTGATGACAGGAAACTTGGGATTTTGGTTTCGTGAGTATTATAACCACTTGGTAGAGATTTTGAACTGCATGTCTCAAAATCGTTCGTCATGACGGAGGTGTATTCTGTTACTGTTATTATATGGAATCTTTCTCTTCTCGCTGTTGTTATGGTGCATGGAAACTTAGTACTATGTGTACGTACGCCAAGTTCTACATCACGCTTCAGTTGCTGATTGACTAACTTTAGTCTGTGAAAAGACGAATACAGTCCCTAAAAATTCGTTACTAAAATAACAACTGATGTCATTGTTATAATACTATATGTACTTGATCCGAAAATAAAAGATATCTTTTTATACAAAGTGTCAGTCAATGGATCCAACTAAGGCACTATCATTAGTTGTATAAATTATAAGTTCATGGATCTTACGTAGAAGTGGAATGGCAGTTCATTTATTATGGAGTTTAGATTTTAACCATCAGGTTGCAGGTTCAAACGTCGCTCTAGGTACGTCGGCTTTGGCAGCCGGATAATATCACTAGCACCATACTGAGAATGTGATTGAAAGCAAAATACACGTGTTGGTCGGTTAAAATGTAATGCAGCTCTTTTCACAAATCACTATTTTATGATCATAACCTTGTAAATTCTATTCTTATTTATTCCCTTTTTATGTGCAAATTTTGAAAATTCTCCAAAAACCTGTTCCCTGTTATTCGAAACAATGAAAAAGAACAGTCAAACGTTTCTTAATCTAATACTGTTGTTTTTGCTATAATTTCAAATAACCCCTGTTGCTTCTTGTTTTCTTTGGTAGGACGCTTTAGTACTAAAAAATAAAAAGTCGGCGCGTCGACGTTGGCCAGCTTTAGAAACTGATAGTTTGTTTAATAATTTCGATTCAGACCATTCAGATTTAAAGCCACCTTCAAAGAAAATGACTGCCATAAAGGAACATGTAAGTATTCGCATTTATTCCATACTAAGTTACTATTGTTGAGGTAGCAGTAGAATTACATTAATTCCATTCACTATATGACTAAGATAGCCATTAACGTTGTCGCACGACATCATTTTTATACACGTAATATAATGTAGGTTTTTTCTGCATGATTGTTTACACGAATATATCAACCAATGTTTATTCAAAAAAATTCTTTAGTCCACTACAGTCAACTCTATAGAACAATACAAGACCCTGTTCCCTACTTTTTAAACATAATCCTGGCAATCCGAAAGTAAGCTTAACACAAGGGCTATAAGTACCGGATTTCTACATATATTAAACTGAAAGAATATACTAATAAAAGTTATTTATTCTAGAAAAATTGTTTTCGTTCTACTGGTACGGTGGTCAAATAAATGAACTATGAAATTGGAATTTTGACCTAGTTGTTTATACCTTCTAAAGATTTTGTCAGATGCGTGATTTTATCGCCTGTCAGTATGTCTTATAATCGTTTTCTGTTAAATAAGTCTCGATTTTACAGAACATGAAACGAAGACAGTGTTACGTGTTTATTGAGAGGGTCACACGACAAGTAAAACCTCGAACGAAACTTATAAATTTATATTCCTTCAAAATAGATATTTCTTGTCGAACATGTTGTATTCCGTGTTTTGAATTGATCACTTATCGTTCTGTTAACATTTGAACTACGAGGAAAAGAAATGTTTTAGGTCTCGGGAGGTTGAATTGTTAAAACTGAATAACTGTAATTGAAACTCATGCATATATTCGCTTCTGTACTGACCCAGACATGGATCTGTGGGCAGTAACTTCAGCTAGGTGAGCTGTTTATAATCACGGTAACCTGCTAACATCTGTCTCTGACATTGCTTATGATTATTAGGGGGCAGCATATCATCTGTTCGTGTTTTTTTTTGCATATAAGATTGTCGTTCCACTAATTATTTCTTCGTCATCTACTTCAGCTTTCTAAATTTGTCATATACTGATTTAGTGTAGTTTTTACGATTTAGCACGTTTTCGGATTCCTTTATTTAATTCATCTAGAGCGATATATATTAACAGACTGTTATTGAATCTGCTATCATAAATAAATACCTATTTTTCATCTGTCACATTGTCCATGTTAGAGTATTTGCTGTTTCTTCATGTTTGCTTCTTTGACAGCAAGACGAAAACTGCACTTACCGTATGCATTGTCATAAGTATGCAATTGCACCAAACAAAATTCCTATATCAACATCTAAATTCATTAAGCAATGTCAAGCTTTTCCACCGATTTTCAATGATTGTAATGTAACAAAAGAAGTAAAACAACTATATGGTCCTCGGTTAGTCAATCATGTTGATAGTGATATTCAAAGTATTCAGAGGCGAGATTGTTTAGATATTGACGAACTATTACAGTAAGTCAGTCACTTTATTCTCATCTGGTTAAATGGATTTCTCCCGAAATATAAGTAACCTTGTCATTAAACTATGAGTATTTCGATTTTTAATGTTATGAAATATAGGATATGGTTTCTCTCATTATGCACCCAAATGTTATGCTGTAATTTGCCTTTTAAATTCACTGATGTCGTAAAATTCTCGGTATTTTGATTTGACTAAGTCTTTAGGGATTAAATAAACGTCTTATCGCAGGAACTGGAGGATTTTCGACCACTAGTTGTTTGATTTCTATTATTATTATTATTTGATACTGAACTTTTTATGTGTATTAGTAAACTTACACATCCCCTTATCTTCCCACTAAACCAGTTTTATTTTTGAATAAATAACTATCGGTATTATTTATTTATGATAACTATTCTTATCTCAGTGGCATTGTATATACATTTGTAAATGTTATAGTATGTACTCAAGAGCTAGTTACAACATAGCTTGCTTACTTTGCAGTGATGATAATCTACTGATAAATAGCGATGTGGATATAGTCGCAACTGATTTCCTCACCAATGGATGTTTACAAGTTTTATGGTACTACTGCTGTCGCAAATGCATTCTATTGGAGATGCTGAAAAATTTAACCCAAACTAGAGGTAACAACAATGTCATAAATTATCCTAAGGTTGATTTTATTATTCCCAAAGAAACAAACGAACTTACTTATTGTACAAATTGCAGCTATAGATATTAGATTACAGTGTAATTAATGTAACAGAAGTCCGATCACTGTAGATACTGTTACAAGATAGTATTCACAGAAAAATCAAAATCAGTATAAACAAGATGAATATATATTCATATTTCTATTGTTTGATATCCATACATATCTACACTTAAATAATTAACCAGTAAGTCGTGTGTTCGTCTAAAGGAATCAAGAAACGGTAATATGTTGTATCATCATAATTCTGTTCTTGTTATTTGGCTGTTACATGTTGCATCCCTGGAAATGTATTGTTTTTCAATAAAATTCCTTTTTTAATCTCTGGCAGTTTATCGTCCATTTAGTTTCTCTCTGAATTATTTAGTTCTACAACCACAACTAAACCACATGTTCTATCGTCTAGTCAGCACGTACCCTCAAGCAGAAACTTCAGTAGTATAACATCTGCTGCATCATTTTATAAGTCGAAAGCACGCTACTTTCCAGGGCATGTTAACAATAAATCAAAAGAGTCACCAAGTACTGTGTTGATGTTGGAAAAGGCAATGCAGCAACCGAAAGACAGTCATAAAGAGAATCATCCATCAGTAGCAACCTACGTAGACTATCCAGCTCATTTATACGTAAATAATACACGTGAGTTTTATAGGTATATGTTTCATTTACGTATATTATTTTGTTTCTGTTTGTCAAGTTCTTACCTCGAAAAACGCAAAGCAGCTGTTGATAGTATAGAGGAAGCAGCTGACATGTTGACAGCCTAAAAATGATTCTTCACTGAATCAAATACTTAAAGTGAGATCGTCCATGGATTAATTATCGTAGTGAAATTTTAAAGTATGATTGTTTGATTACTGATTTAATCTCACATTTACTTTCATATATCTCATGCACTTAGGTGTTTACTATGCCATAATTTTTAATATATGATTTACTGACTATTACCATTTACATATTAATGAATACAGTGATCGCACTGTGATAATGATTAGAACTTGTAAATTCTATTCTTATGAAAGCTTAATTTCGAATCAGCTTATGTTCATTGACACATTGCAATAAGTTATTTTATAGCTTCTCAGTTTCCTTAGAGTGACCTCCTTCATGTACATGAGGGATCATATTACAGATACGTATATGCTGTTACCCTGCATGTACGAAGTTCTACGTTGCTTCTGTCTTGACTTGATAAACGTGTCTCTGTCACTACCTGCTTTATCAGTTTCGTATTACAAGCTGTCTGATCATAGAAATAGGCAGTTTAAATGCCGCCATATCAATTTTTAATTATGTATTTCATTTGGTCCACTTTTTAACAACTAATAATCGAAATAGGATTCCAACGCAAACTACAGCGAAATCATGTAGTGTAATTTTAATACTGTTTTATGGTGAGAGTTCTAGTCTTTTTTCTTGTTAACTCTTATTATTTGGCTTTTATTAAGCCATGTATTTTTCGTCAGTACTTTTCTCTGTACCCATCGATGTAACTAGTATTTCTAATTAAGCGAATCTATAACAGAGATGTTGTCGTTGCTCCGAAAAGCTTCTCATTGAGATGGTTTTATTAATAAAAACTGGTGATATTTGCCGCTAAATGTTTTTATTTTACGCTTCGATTTTGTGTGGGTCGAATTTTTAATTTTAGAGGCAAAAGGTTGTATTTTCTAGCTTGGTGAGCTTACTCGCTCTATGTAATCACTGAAATTTAATGAATTTAAAATACTCAAGTATTTCTGTTTGTCCTTCATGTACTTTTTGTTTTTTCAGCCAGGTTTGACGTTATCTGCTTGTATCACAGAAGAATCATTAGCCTGAGTACTTCTGTCGAGTAATCCAGTAGAGCAGTTTCGAAACTACACCTTTTCCGAATTAAGGGCTATAAAAAATGTCAAATATCTTCTATTAGCGTTATGTGGAGGCAAATCGGCCATCCTTTTTTAGATAAGTTATCTGCCAATGGCAGTAAACTTTGTTTAGTCAATATTTAGATCTTCTAACTAGTCTTCTACAAATGAAGAAACTTACGGATTATAGGCTAGCAATGTTATTTGTTTATGCGCAATTTACTATTTGAATCTACTCAAGTTAATTAAATTTAGATTTCTGGCATACTGTGATTTGCTCCTATAATAGTAACTAGTCTGGAAACACTCTCGTTATATATCCAGCTCATCAGTCAGTCAGTCAGTCAGATGCAACTTAGAACTTCGTACGTAAGTACATCAGTTCATGTCGTCATACCACATCAGCACAGAGATGTAATTGTCAATTCAAATCCAATGGTAGAAGAGGTAGTAAAGGTATTAGGAGTAATCGAAGAGGTTAGGATTAGAAGATATTATTCAAGAAGTATGATTCAGTGACATAACTTTAGAAAGTCAAAACTAGAGTTGTTGAAGATTCCAGAAGATTAGGATTTGAGAGAACACATAATAAATGCACCTGCGCCATTGCAAACGGTTTTGAGCCATGTCATTCAAGGTCTCTAACCATCGATTATTATCATCTCGCGGACCCCAACCAGGTAGTCGACAATTACCGACATGGCTCAGTCCACTAGTCAATGACTTCATGGATTGGTGCCATGTTTGGTCTGGCCACCCCTAACTTTCTTCCAACCTACTCCTACATCACAAAACAAGGCATTCGGTGGTTAGGCATACGTAACACACGTCCCAACCACCTCAACTGGAGTTTCAATATTTCATTTATTGATCTGCCGTCCTTACCTGGCACCGGTTTCCCAATATCAGCGTTGCTCACTCGGGTGTCCCACGGTATACGAGCAATGCTTCGAAGACACCTATGATCGAAAACAAGTAACCTACGAATATCTTCTACTCTCACTGGCCATGTTTCACAGCCATAAAGTAAGACGGAGCGAACTACGGTGCAGTACACTCGTCCTTTAGTCAGCAAACGGATATCTCGCCTTCGCCATAAGTGATGCAGGTTGGCAAAAGCCAATTGAGCCTTCTGGATGCATGCGTGCTGAGATTTCGTCAGTCACCAGGCCATCGGCACTGATGAGACTCCCAAGATAAGTGAAGCGGTTTACACGTTCGTCTACTTCACTCTCTATTAATAGTTCAGGTGTCGATACAACCCAGTCTTTAAGCAATATTTTGCATTTCGGGGGTGGGTTTCAAGAGACCAGGAATGAGGTTTTGTGAACTTGCATGGTTTGCATTAGCGGTGCAGTCAGATAAGGGAATGTTAGTAGAGTTAGCTGTGGAGAGAAGAGAGGTATGTGTGGGTGTAGGAAGGATTTGATTTCGACCAGATTGTTCTCTCGTGCTGTTACGGGTATGAGGGTGGTTGTCACTTCCCGGCTGCCCACACTGTGGAAGGTTGTTTCTTGAGGGACCTGGAAAGGAGATAGATTAGTGTTGGTCTTAGAGACCTGGGTGCGTGACCGCAGAGTCCAAAGGACCACTGCTTGTGGCCGGTCACTCACGGCCTTTTTATGAAAGGTATTTTGAGGATTAGCTCCGTTCCTAAAGGCCCTTAGTGGGCACCCTTACCCAAGGAGACAGAAATCCGTGAGATAAGGGTGGTGTGACATTTTTGGGGCCGACCTTTTCTAACCCTTCCTTCCTTATGAGAAGGCAGCATCTCTGCAGATGCTGGTTGTCCGATGGAAACACCTTACTGCTGTCACACCCCTCTGCAGTCAGCAGTACGACTTCGCCCTCAGACCTTGAGTAGCTGCTTTTAGTCTCATCGTTCTCTAATCGACCAGCCTGGCATGGTAGGACCTGCAGGAATAAATGTTCCAGCCAGTATAGCTCGATTGGGTCATCACGATAGGCAAGTCCGACCACCACGTCAAGTTAGCAGCTACGGTCGGGATATCCAGCTCATATATACTGTTATTCATACGACGCGAAGTACTGAAACACCAATGGCCGTTTCTCACCTTCATTTTTATCAGAGAATAATCTTTCTCTTTCTGAAGTATTATTTGTGGGTGCTTTTTCATAATTACACAGTTTAGGTATCAACTGACCTTACAGGATGGTTAGTCACTGTTTGCTTCACTGGAAATATTTTTTTAACTTTCGTGGTTAGTTTCATTGGTGAACCAACAGTTCAGTCATGCCAGCAAATTTTATTATTTTTTTCCATTCAGGTAATTTGATGAAAAACCCTGATCCGGAGATCAATAACAGTCGAGATCAAGAAGCTAGTTATTTCCGCAATCATATCAAAGTATCTGGGGTCGGATTTCTGTCGGGATGTAGAACGGGTTATTTCCGTCCTTCAGTGAGGGCGATTGCTCCTTTCCATTCGAATCCGAGTTCTAGAACAGATTGGGCAGCCAAGTACGATAGTTTTGTATAAAGTAATATTTTATGCTGTAATGTGGTTATGGGTTCATATACGTAAGATACCAATGAATCAATTATTAGGCTTTGAACTTTTATGCTACTCCATTTATCGAATCATTACCTCATGTAAAGTGAGAGCTAAATGTTTAAAATAACCGTCAATATTCTCAGGGTTAAGCATTTGTGCGCAATAGGTACATCTGTGTTTTCTTCAGCACTCTATCAGCAAACAAATTTGAGTGAGCTAAAGTCAGTTAATGAATTTTATTGAGAATTGGAAAGTTGATATCAATTCAATAAACGGCTTGCATTATTAACTGCCTACAAGATTAGAATTATCATAGTAAGATTACTAAGTTATGATCCATAATTCTTGATACATATTATCTCATTATTAATACCTTGACGCAGTTCATAACGAAAAATCCATTGTTTGAAAAACAACTGTTCAAACAATAGTTTTATATCAACTACGGTTGAAGGTTAAATGTTCTTAACGATATATTCTGCGACTATTTTGTTATAATACTAGAGTTTATTTCAGGGATTATTTGTGAATATAATATTGCTTATATTTTTACGTGTATTAATTAATGTGGCGAATTTCCGAGGATTTTCATGAACTTCTCATAATACTTATTTGTTTTAGATATTTGAAGTCGTGAATGTATTTTGGAGTCAATATAATTATTATTCTTTTCTTCATAAATTTTTATATCTTTTGTTTTGTTTAATTTTTTGAGCATTTCGGGACATGCTCTTTGTATCCAGCTTCATTCGTATTTATCATCTGTTTTTGTATGGTTTATCAAACAGCTTTGTGCCTTTATTATTTTTTATGTCCTTTGTTCTTTTGGACCTCTTTTACTTGTCATAGATTTAAAAAAGGAATTTCATAGCTTACTGATTTTGTCATTACCACAATTATGAGTGTTTTATAGTCGGCGGTTTGTAGACAAGTTACCGGTAATCTATAAACCTTTTCCCGCTCATACAGCCATCATTATTATCACCTTTTCTTACTCTTGTAACAATGTGGAAATTCGGTTTATGAACTATCTTCATTGTATTGGTTGTTTGATCAACGCTCTAATTGCTTGTTACATTATTTTGTCATATAATGACTAACTGATTGCCTTCCTATATATGACTGTGTCTGCAAATATTTAAATCTTTATGATGCTGTTACCATGACGTATGATTTACAATTACTTCAGACCTTGTTTAATTTACGGTAGTATCTTATTAGTTAAAGTACATTGTATTCTGCGTAACAGCGGTTGTCTTATTATGCAGCTATGTGATAATCCAAATTCAATTTGTTTAGTTGTTCATTTGTTTTTGTCTCTGCATGTACGCTTCTCGCTTTACACATATCTTGAACTGTGTATTAGCTGAACTGTGATTTTCACATTGAACTCATCTTCGTTTTTATTCAAGTGTAATGCTGTGTAAAATATATAGTTTGAAATCCAATATAATACTGCGTTCTTTTCTCTTCAAATTCTAAAACAAAATGTATGTCTGTAGTGTGATGGTATATGATTTTTCTGAGTTACTGATAATTACAACAATGATTTTTTTATACCGATCGGGATTTTTTAAATTCAAGCCCAGAGCGTGTTAGGATAGGGTTCAATGTACTTGACATTAATTTCAGCTTATATAACCATTTTATATATAATAGTCTGTCTAATATAACTGACAAAGCTACCTTGTTAACATGATATTTTTAAACTTCTTTCAGAAGTTTGGAGTCTTAATGTTACTACTACTGGTCGTATAAAAATCTAGTTGATTAACTCCAGAAAAATTTTAGCTTCGTTTTAATACAGCCTGTATTGCATGAACCAAAAAATATTGAGCACCGACACTGCTACTTTGCAGAATCCATAAAATAACATTTATATTTTAATTATTATTGGATCTGTTAATTTGTAAAGCAGCATGTTCCACACTCAATTGTTCAAATGAGGTGTTCGAAATTTTTAACTATTCCATAAGTGTTATGAACAATTAATTCTCCTGCATTTTAACATCAATATTGTGTAAACGTTTTTCGCTATCAAAATCTTGTTCTTGTAAATGCAATAAAATTTAGTTTGCTATTAGTGCTGAATAATTACTTTCAAGATCTGTTTAATCATTCTAGCGTTTTAATCCCTGTATAGGTTGTATTTGTTCAAGATAACTTATCACATTTGATTCTAATCGGAACTTTGGCGCTCCCTGCTTGCATACTTTCTATTTTTTAAGTCAAATGAGTGGTCTTGAGTTTACTTCGAATGTGAGTTGTGTTATCTTTGTCTAATTGGTGTTTTAGTATCTTTTTAATTTTTTTCTAACAGAGATTAGTAATTCCGGTCCTTATCACTTAACTGCAACTTCTCATGACACAATAGAACTGAATAATACTTTGATTCCAAAGACTGGTCGCATATAGCAATGCTGAAGCTCTCAATTGTCATTTTAAATGGTTCGTCTTCATAGCATTTAGACTGACATTGTACATAATTTGTGGTAATATAAAAAACCTGTTTCGCCTATCCCATATGTTAGTCGATGTACTGAATGTACATGTCTCCTCGTAGAAACGATAAGCACTTTTTATTGATTTCCAGATTATTTAATTCATTGCTACATGTTACTTTTTGGTAATTTGCTAGCTCATTAAGTATGATCGTGGAAGAAATAACCTCGACATTAATATACTATAAAGTCAGGTGAAAGTTCTGCTACCTATTTTCTTTTATTTATATTTCTAAACCGTAATGCTTTTCAGTTGCTGGAAGATGAAGAAGAACAAGATGCAACTTATGATCGTGGAAAAAAGCGGATGTTTTCTCGTGAAAGTAATCATAATTTTTACACAATTACTATTTTAGTACGTTCAATGTTGTATGCTTTTGGAGATGATGAAAATCCATTACATGAAACTGTCTCCTTAGTAGAAGATATAGCAGTTCGACATATTATCGAAATGGTGAGCAATATTGGATTGTCCCATTCCAATGGGAAACCAAGTTATTGATGATGAGTAAAAATATGTTACTTAGGGTTCTTACATTTCCTGTTTACCATTTATTATAAGACTAGGTCTTGAAATTTGAATCCTAATCAAAGTATCACGGATTGTCTTTTAATGAAAAATTACTATTACCATCTGTGTCTTTAGCAATACATCATTTGTAAGACTTAAAGAAAGCGATTGTATCTTATAGAGTGGCGGCGAAAACAATTTTACGATAAGGATGGTGGTTGTAAACATTAGTGTGAGACGTTAGTCTAAGGTAACGTTTCATTGACAGTTCCTTATCACAGTCAATTTTTCACTCACGATTGTAGTTTTAGACAATGTTTCCCGCGGAAATACAATTAATGGCAATGAAGCCGTACATATGTACGCTGCTCTGCGTGATAAATCTGTTAGAACCTTCCTAGCTCTGCAAACTGGCAGTCCTAAGAATATTATTTTCTGCAATGGTTTCCAAATTTCTCTTACAAAGCTTGTTTCTGAATCATTTTTATGATAAATTTAGACCAAAAGAGCATTAAAGGTTGGCAGACCAGGAAAAATCTCCGTTGAGGATGTTACTTATCTTGTACGACGCGATCCAAAGAAATTCTCAAGAGTTAAAGAGCTTCTATTGCTCAGTGAGGAGCTCCGACGTGCACGCAAAGCATTTGAAGAAGATGAGTTCGATGTGCTTAAATAAATAAATACTTTCTACTCTTGTCAATTGATTTCACTTTGTGTCGTATTTTAGACATCTAATAAATAAACATCGAACGTTTGTCAAGTAGAACTGATGATAGCACACCCCATCGTATATTCACTCTTTAGAGATAGCTGTTCAAAGCATAGCTTTCAGTAATGTGAGCTTTGTTTAAAATAGTTTATTTCATCATCATGAATAAAGACTTAAATAGAACGAGATAAATTTATTTTATTGCATATAGTTCTTGCAAGTTATTTACAACCTGACTAATAAAACCTATTACACAAGGTTCGAATATTAAAAGGTCAAACATGTAGTTCGGGACGAGGTTTCAGGAGACCAGGAATAACGTTTTGTGAGCTCAAATCGTTTGCTTCAGCGGTGCGAGATGATAAAGAAATTTGAGATAGATTAGACGTGGAGATAAGACAAATGCTAGGGGATGTAGGATGAATGTGATTGTGATCAATATTGTTTTGTGCTGTAACAACTATGCGGGCGGATGTCACTTGCCGGTTGCCACAACTGGAAGGGCATTTCTCGAGGAACCTAAGAAGGAAGGCCGGATTAACGTTGGTCTTAGAGATCTGGTAGCGTGAGCGCAAAGATCGAGAGACAAAGGCTTGAGACCGGTCAAGCACGGCCTTTTCATGTTAGTGTTAGTTCCGTTCTTGTTTAAAAGGCCTTACCGCCGGAGACGGAAATTCGTGAGGTAAGGTGAGGTGTGACATTTTTAGGTTCGACCTTTTCTACCCCTTCCTTTTTAGAAGGCAGCATCGCTGCAGACGCTTGTTGTCCGAGGGAAACACCTTACTGCTGTCACACCACTCTACAGTCAACAGTACAACTTCACCCTTAGACCTTAAGTTGCTGCTTCCAGTCTCACCGTTTTCCGATCGACTTGCCTGGCATGGTAGAACCTGCAGGAATATATGTTCGAGTCAATATAGCTCGGTTGGGTCATGACAATAGGTAAGCGTGACCATCACGTCAAGGTATCAGCTACGGTCGGCACTGTGTAATATATCGCGTTGGGGGGGGGGTCGATGAAAAGGTGGTTAAGGTTTTGATAAAGGGCGAGTCAAGAGACATTGCAAGGTTCAATGTGATAACATCTATGGCATCACGAAGCCTACCATCCGCCGTGTGGCTCACCGTGTTGTTGATTGATTGTCTACAGATTGACAATCAGCGAAAAAGTTATTTGACACGGATAGATAATAATGGAACCCTTCTTGGTCACAAATTTCTATCAAATACATATTTCACTGAAGCAACTACTTGACAATATTTATACTCAGAGAAAAAGTAATGCTTATCTTAGTTACTGTCCAATTCGTATAGTGACCATGGTATTGCATTTTGACAATATTGAATATACAATTACTTTACACAAGTCGCTTCAGGATTAGTGACTGCTATTTGATAGTATATACTATTAGCTTCAAAAGATTGCAGTTTAAGGTAACAGAATTTGGAGTATTCGCAAAAACAGAACCATAACAAACCTGTGCTAAGTGAAATTTTGTAAAAGAAAAATAGACTAAAGCATTGTTTCGCTTTGAGATAAAAACTCTTTACACCAAACAGCCATGATTTCGCGGATGAAAAGGACTGAATCAAGAGACACTGTTTTTCAAACTTCTCACTGATTATCAAGATACTGGAAACAGACACGCACTTGAGGATGTTATGTAACCAAGAAATAAAATAACAGATTCGACAGACAAGCACATCACGATTCATAATATCATTTAAGAGTTAAAGATATAAAGAGTAGGAAAGATGATAAAAAACAGCAGTTACATCCATGGTCCAACGAATCAACGTTTGTCATCAAGAGTTTCTCAAATTCCCGGACGATTACAAAAATAGTCACCTGGTTAATTATATAAACTTACTTTCATTCTTAGGATTATTCTGTGATGTACAATCATGTTTTACAT